GCTGCTACACCAGGGGAAAAATTGAGAAAAAAAATTACGCAGTTTGGACAACATGGTTCTGAGATGCATTGCTGCTACTAGCAGCTAGTTGCCTGATAGTCAAGAAATGGCTAGGAAATATGGAAGGGTATCATGTGCCCATGAGCAGGAGGAAGTATTTGAAATAGGTGGACACTAGGCAATGTCCACAAGGGCAGGCTATCAGTGTAGCCGGACATGCAGGTTATTACGTGGAGTGTAAATAACACCCGTGCACAATGGCAAGCGCTGGAGTGGCTTGATGAAAAGTAACTTCAGCGTTTACTGGATTCTTTTATTTTCTCTTATAAAGTTCTTTATCTACATAAAAAAGAAGAAAAGGAAAGAGTCAGATTAGAGATGAATTTATAGCTTCAGATACAAGAAGAAGAGATTGTGCTCCTCCAGATCTGTGAATGCATATTTACTAACTCCTCCCTGTCTCCACAAAAAAAAGGGGGTAAGAGTATCAGGATGGACATCTTTATGATTCAGTCCCGGAGCTTGGCACTGTGAGCAGCCCCTGTGGCGCCTGGAGGCTGACAGAGCCTTGGACGCCTTTTCTTCCTCAGAGTTTGGGAATGATTGCAGAGATTGGTGAGAAATTGGACATGGACCCCCAAAAGCAAGGTTTACTAGACTTTCTTTCAAAGGGGCTCCTAGTATCCTCCCATGACCTGGAGGAGGCATCTTTTCACAGGCACCTGCATGAGGCCTCTCCCAGGTGCCCACCTGAGCACCCATTTGTTTGCTTACTTGTTTGTTTATTCATGTGTTCCCTCATCTGTTGAGTGCTGACCCTGTGCTGTGCTGTGGGCTGGGGACGCAAAACAAGAAGAATCCATTTCTGGCTAAAATCCCCTGTGAGTTTTGTTTGTTTTTGTTTTGTTTTGTTTGTTTTTTCTTGAGTCAGGGTCTCACTCTGTCACCCAGGCTGGAGTGCCGTGGCACATTCATGGCTCACTACAGCCTCTACCTCCTGGGCTCCAGTGATCCCTTCACCTCAGCCTCCTGAGTAACTGGTGCTACAGACATGTGCCATGATGCCAGCTAATTTTTTGATTTTTTTGTAGAGGTGAGGTCTCACTATGTTATGCAGGTTGGTCTTGTACTTTTGGGTTCAAGTCATCCCTCACCTTGGCCTCTCAAAGTGCTGGGGTTACAGGCATGCGCCACCATGCCCAGTCTTATTTTGAAACATGTCTTCTATCTCCCACTCTCCACCCAGTGGTTTCCAGGACCATTCTTGACTGCCTTTCTTTCTTCTCCCTCCTCCCTGTGTCTATCATATAGGGATTCACATGAAGTTCAGCTCATGCTGGCTTTTCTAGGAAAGTGCTTTCAGAGCCTCCTTTCCCATGGTGGGGCCTGAGCCCAGTCGCCTCTTTGAGCAGAGAGCAGAGGTCTTGTGTGGGTTGGTTTGTCCCCAGATCCCAACACCCCAGAAGTTGGCTACCAGTTCTTAGTGCAATGTGGCCACTGCAGTTCTGGGGGCTCATGGCCCCAATGGCCTATGCCCAGACCCTGGTGTTAGCTGTGGCCCTGACAGGAAAGGTGACAATGGCTGACCCTTCAGGACCAGCTGACAGATAAAATGCCACATGCACAAGGAACCAGGTAAGAGCGGCTCTGCTGAGGCCTAGAAGTCCTGTTGCAGGAAGAGAGGAGAGAGGCTTTCCCATACCTCTGCTCATACCCCAGTGGTCCCTCTCTCTGGGCTGCACATTATCCATCTGTAAAATGAGGGTATTGGGAGGGATACCCTCTCTAAAGTCCCCCATAGCTCACTTATTGTAGAGAATTTGGAACTGCTGTCACCTCCTCATAGTATTTTTCATGGACCACATCCTCTGTGCCAGGCATTATAGAACCTGTGGTGGACACTTGACCTAGTGGGCATCCCAACAGCTCTGTAACATGGGTATTCTTGTTATCTTCCATCTTTCAGATGAGGAAACAGAAGCACAGAGAAGTTAAGGAACTTGCCCAAGGTCTCACAGCGTGTCTGTAGTATATCTAGGACAGAAAGCCCAATTCTGTCTAACCCCAAAATCTGTTCCCTTTAGATACTTTTTTTTTTTTGAGTTGGAGTCTCACTCTGTTGCCCAGACTGGAGTGCAGTGGCACACTCCCAGCCACCGCAGCCTCGACCTGCTGGGCTCCAGAGATCTTCCCACCTCAACCTTCCAAGTAGCCAGAACTACAGGCATGCGCTACCACGCCTGGCTAATTTTTTAATTTATTGTAAAGACGAGGTCTCACCAAGTTGCCTGGGTGAGTCTTGAACCCATGGGCTCACTCAATCCACTTGCCTCGGCCTCTCAAAGTGCTGGAATTACAGGCTGAGCCACCTAGCCTGGCCCTTTTAGATACTTTTTTACTCACTCTTGTGCCCTGGATTCTCTGACCTGGAAGGCACTGGAGAAAGCTCACCTTTTGTGAAAAGAGATAAAGGAAGTCCCAAGTTTGTCAAAAGAGACAAAGGAAGCTCAGAGAAGTGGAGCAACTAAGACACAAACCCTCTCACCCCCAGGCCAGAATTCTTCCTTTCTGGTTTAAGTAGTTAATTTAATTCTGTTTGTTTGAGTTACGGTCTCACTCTCTTGCCCTGGCTGGAGAGCAGTGGCATGATCACAGCTCACCTCAGCCTTAACCTTCGGACTCAGGTGATCCTTCCACCTCAGCCTTCCAAGTAGCTAGGACTACAGGTGCGTGCCACCATGCCCAGCTAATTTTTATTTTATTTTTTTGTGAGACAGTCTTGCCCTGCTGCCCAGGCTGGTCTCAAACTCCTAGGCTCAAGCAATCCTCCCACTTTGGTCCCCCAAATTGCTGGTATTACAGACATGAGCCACCACACCCAACCTGAATTTAATTCTTAAATAGGTAATTCTGCAGATGATGCTAAATTCTGATGATGCAAAAGGGAATAATAAAGAGAAAGCAAGCATCTTCCTCTCATCCCTGAGCCTATTACTGCAGAGCCTAGGGCCTCCCTGCAGACAGAGCGCAGACAAGTCTTTTGCAAGTGTCTTGTATGCTTCAGGGTTTGGTTGTTTTATTACATCCAGAGATGCAGCATGGAGATGCTTGCCCTTAGGGCAGCAGAAAGCTCGACCTCATTCTTGTTATTGAAAGTGACCAGGCCATTGCTTTCTGTCTCACTCCAAGCCAGCAAAGGTGACTGTGGGTCCCCAGGCTGTTTGGTCTGGAAAGAACCTTTGGCATCATCCTTGGAACAATCCCCTTGTTCTTCTGGTAAGGAGTGGGAGAGGACAACTTTCCCAGTGACACACAGCAAATCACTATGATGTTAGGGGTCCGGTGGAATCTGCTTACTCCTGCCCTGGGGCTTTCACTGTGTGCCAAGCAGGCTACTTTCCATAGAAGTAATATCCTTGGGAAAACGATGTTACCTATGAAGCGAAGGGCATTGACAGCCATCAAAATGACAAAAGCTCTCAACATTTCCACTTCGAGACATTCAGTTTTCCCTATAGATACACCCACACAAGGGTAAAAGGATTTCCTTACAAACTTATTCTTTGCAGCACTGATTGTAATAGTGAAAGGTCAGAGGCAACCCAAGTGCCTATGGATAGGAGACTACTTATAAAAATAGGGGACCATCCACACAAACAGAACACTGTGCTGCTGTGAAAAGAACGGCTACCTCCCCACATGCTGACAGAAACATCTCTAAGAGATGTTACTTCGTGAAAAACTCAAGGTGTGGAATGCATTGATATGCTCTCATTTGTGTAACTAAAACAGAAAATTATACATAAATGTCTTTCTTAGTATATACAACATCCCTGGAAAGGTCTAAAAGAAACTGGTAACTAGGAGGCATCAAGATGGCGGGAGGGGGCACTTTTTTTTTTTTTTTTTTTGGGTTGGAGTCTCACTCTGTCACCCAGACTGGAGTGCAGTGGCCACTCCCAGCTACCGCAGCCTCGCCTGCTGGGCTCCGGCGATCCTTCTGCCTCAACCTTCCAAGTAGCCGGAATTACAGGCATGCGCTACCACACCCGGCTGATTTTTTGATTTATTGTAGAGATGAGGTCTCGCTGCCCAGGTGGGTCTCGAACCCGCGGGCTCAGGCAATCCACTCACCTCAGCCTCCCAAAGGCGTAGGATTACAGGCTGAGCCACCGAGCCCGGCTAAAGGGGGCACTTTTTACATTTTGAAACTTGTGCATTATGTATTTGAAAAGTAAAACAAAAATCAGACTCACAAACACCTCTTACTTTTTTTTTTTTTTTGAGTTGGAGTCTCACTCTGTCACCCAGACTGGAGTGCTGTGGCTGCTCCCAGCCACTACAGCCTCAACCTGCTGGGCTATGGCGATCCTTCCGCCTCAGCCTTCCAAGTAGCTGGAACTACAGGCACACGCTACCATGCCCGGCTGATTTTTTTTTATTTATTGTAGAGATGAGGTCTCGCCAAGTTGCCCAAGTGGGTCTCGAACCCGCGGGCTCAGGCAATCCACTCACCTCAGCCTCCCAAAGCACAGGATTACAGACTGAGCCCAGCTACCTCTTACTTTTTTAACTTGAGGAAAAGAGAATTAGAAGAAAACTATAAAGTCAGTAAAGATTAGCCTGGCTTTTCTAGACTTTTTCTTGACAGTAACCAGAATGTCAAGCTACCTGTAGCAGAGGTCATAGGGTCCTGGATTTTGGTGACTCATTGTCTAGGTCACATCAAAGACATGAAGGTACCATCCCTCCACCCCCCTTTTAAATCAGCTCATCTTGTCTCCTGATGTTCTAGGTCTGATATGGAAAGTTCCAGGCTTTTATTATTTCTAATCAATGTCCCTTTCCCAAGTCCCACCCCTTGGCAGCCACAGCAGGATCACATCTAACCCAGGACCACATAAAAAGGGACTGTTTCCTCCCCTGAGGACCAACTCTGTGGAAGTGCCAGACGTTAGAGAGCGTCTTCCCCAGCACTGCAAGGGAGGAACTGAGGGACGATGGCCACATTGAAAGGTGAGTGGGTGAGATCTCCGTGGAACCCACATCTTGTCCAACTGGGCACCCACTGCCCTTCCACTGTCCCTGCTTCCTGGCACCAAAGTTTGTACCTTTACCCCTGAATACCTAGGGCACCCACCTGCCTAGTCAGTGAGGGAGCAGGAATAAGTCAGGATGTGGAGGGACTGTCACACCCCTTTTTCAGCTGTGTTACTCTGTTGTTGGCTCTGGCTCCCCCAGCAGGAGCTCCACTGTCACATGAAGAAGCCCTTAAGACTGCAGCTCCTGACGCCATACTGTGGTTTGAATGTCTCCTTGCCCCCAAATTCAGGTATTGCAAATGTGACACTGTACAATGTGACCTCTGCCACGAGGGGCTTGACTTTCTGGTTAGGTCAAGGTCAAGTCTAGAAAAACAAGGTTAATCTTTACTGACCTTATGGTTTTCTTCTTATTCTTTTTTCCCCCAAGTTAAAAAAAGAGAAGTTTGTGAGTCTGATTTTTTACTTTTTGAATACATAACGCATTCACATGTTTCAAAATGTAAAAAGTACCCCCCTCTGTCACCTTGATGCATCCCAGTTACCAATTTCTTTTAGACCTTTCCAGAGATGTTGTATGTACTAAGAAACAAGTATATTTATGTATACTTTTCTGTCTTTTCTACATAAACGAGAGCTTATCAATGCATTCTGTGCCTTGAGCTTTTCATGAAGTAACGTCTCTTGGCAATGTTTCTGTCAGCATGTGGGGAGGCAGCCTGCTTTTTTCACAAGGGCACAGTGTGAAAGAAATGGGACCTTTAAGAGGTGATTAGACATGAAGGCTCCTCCCTGTGAATGGGATTAGGTGTCCTTATAAAGGTACTTGGCAGAGGGAGTTTTTCCTCTCACTTTTCTGCCTTCTGCCATGTTATGATGAGTCAAGGGGCCCTCACCAGATGCTGGTGCCTTGATGTTGGATTTCCCAGTCTCCAGAACTGTAAGAAATAAGTTTCTGTGTTTTTTGTTTGTTTGTTTGGTATCTTTAAGTCAGAGTCTCACTCTGTCACCCAGGCTGAAGTGCAGTAGCACCCTCATGGCCACCGCAGCCTTGACCTGCTAGGTTCAAGCAATCCTTCCACCTCAGCTTTCCAAGCAGCTGGAACTACAGGCATGTGCCCCCATGCCTGGCTAATTTTTTGATTTATTGTAGAAGCAAGTTCTTGCCGAGTTGCTCAAGCTGGAAGTTTCTGTATTTTTTACAAATGACCCAGTCTCTCAAGTATTCTGTTGTAGTAGCACAGATGGACTAAGATACCCCACCTAGCTGTGGGCCCACCCTGAGGTGTCAATCCCAGAAGGAGAGGTGCCTGGGCAGATAGGTCTATCTGTCCAATGAGACTCCCTGCTGGAGGGATCAGATGCCCAGGCCCTGTGGAGCAGTGTGGAGGGAAGGCCATGTGCTGGAGGTTTGGCTGCCTGGAGAACACCTGTACAGACACTAGTTCTAAAGCTACTCCAGCATGAGTGTGCTGTGTTGTCTCCAGTCACATCATCAGCTGCATTCTCAAGGCAGTCCTGTGATCTGGGCATGAGCACCCCACCCATTTCATAGTTAAGAAAGTTCAAGCTCCCATGGCTGACCTCCACGATCTCTAAAGAGGAGGGATGTCTGCTGGGTGAGACCTCAGGAGCAGGAGTAGTCCCCTGTGTCTCACCTGACCTCACCTCACAGACCCTCATGGGGATTCCTAGTTCAGTGGTTCTCAAAGTGTGCTCCCTTGATCAACAGCATCAGCATCATCAAGCATTTAACATGTCTTCTGGGTGAGTCCAACCCCCAACTAATATAGTGCTCTGCCTGTTTTGTATTAGTCACTCAGAACCAGCAGTTCTCAAACTTAGTTGCACATTGGAATCACCTAGAAAGCTTTAAAAACACAGATGACCTGGCACGGTGGCTCAGGCCTGTAATCCCAGCACTTTGGGAGGCTGAGGTGAGAGGATTGCCTGAGCCCATGGGTCCGAGAACAGCCCTGGCAACTTGGAGAGACTTCATCTCTAAAGTAAATCAAAAAATTAGCCAGGCATCGTAGTGTGTGCCTGTAGTTCAGGCTACTTGGAAGGCTGAGGTGGAAGGATCACCTGAGCCCAGCAGGTTGATGCTGGGGTGACCATGAGCATGCCACTGCACTCCAGTCTGGGTGACAGAGTGAGACTCTGACTCAAAACAACAACAACAACAAAAAAAACCAAAGAGCTCAGGCTCCTCCCAGATTAATTACACCAGAATCTCTGGAGCGGACATTAGTAGGTTTTACAGCTCTCCAGGTGATTTCAATATGCAGCCAAGACTGACACTGTAAGGCTTCTGGAAGATGGTAATAGCTGAGCTCCAAAAGCATTTTATCGGGGTCCGTCCCTTTCATGACTATGAGCTTGAGAGTAGTTTGAATTCTGGATAAAGGGGAAAGGAATGGTCTCTAAGCTGAGATAACACAAAAAAAGTTATTAAACAGGTACATGGTGAGAAATACAAGTGTTAAAGAGAGGGAAGGGGTATGTGTGTGTGTGTGTGAGCGCACTCCTGGGTAGGCTATTTCCTTTACTCAATGTACTTTTCACTTTAGCAACAAAGAAAAAACTCCCACGTGGGAGAGGGGACCCCAAAAATCTGAAGTTATCTTTTAGAGGGTGGGCCCCTTGTAGTACAGGCTTCCCCCACTAGGTAAGTGTTCTAGGAACCCATCAGCATCAGTGTACCAGTTAGCATTGTTGTGAGAAGTTGTGCTTGGCTTCAGTGAATTTTTTTTTGGTGATTCTTTCAACATGTTTGCTCATTTCATGATGGGTGATTTACACCAAGAATCTGCCCACAACGTGCTGAGAGTTCTGTAGTTTTTTACTAAAAATGACATGACCCCCGTGTCCCACCCTCCCTATTCACTCGATCTTGCCCTGAGTGACCTTTTAAATTTTCCCTGATGAAAAAAAGGCCTCAAAGGGAAATGTTTTGCCAATGTGGAAGAGGTAAAACAAAAAACAGCAGAAGCACTAAAGGGCATCAAAATTGATGAGTTTAAAAACTGTTTTGAGCAGTGGAAAAACATCTCGATTGGTGTATTACATCAAACTGAGAGTTCTTTGAAAGTGACTAAAGTTTAAACATGTTTGAAAGTGACTAAAGTTTAAACACAGTTTTTTATAAATTCCAGTGTTTTGGGGGTTTCCCTTGTGGTCTTGGCCTTGGTTCATGGGAGCCCCTTTGCACTGCCCCCCTCTATTTGGATAAAAAGGCTCACCCCTGGCCTCTTTTCACCCCCACCTCCCACCCCAGGATGGTATCTGATTCGAAGCTAGTGGGAGTCTGGGCTGGCCAGGAAAGGGGAGCAGTCCTGGGAGTCCTCTGTTCCCTCACTGGTTTGTCGACTCCTTTCTTTTTCTCCAGCTTCTATGTTGATTAATAGAGAACACCCTGCCTCTAGCTTTGTCCCTGAAGCCATGTCTATAGAGAGGAGGAATGGGGGTGGCAGGGGCCACCCTAACAGAAGTGCCTGGCTGAGCACTTGATGTCCATTGGTCTCAGCTCATGGTCATGTAACCCTGCAAGGTAGGTACATGCACGCCCATCTTACAGGTGAGGAAACTGAGTCTCAGAGAGACTCATAGCCAGCCAGAGGTGGAGCAGGGGCACTCCACTCCCAAACCCAGCTTCCACCTCAACGCACCGTCAGACTTTGACCCCAGAGAAAGGTGATTGGGAAATGAACGTTCTCTCTTCTTTTCTTTCCCACGTGCTGTGTTACTGACAGACCTGCAGGTTCTTCGCATTGACTTCATGAAGCAGAAGAATGCTGCTTCTCACCACACCTCGGAGTTCCAAACCAGCATTCCTGTGTTCCGGCGGGGGCAGGTGTTTTACCTGCGGCTGTTCCTGAACCAGCCCCTACAACCCTTCCACAACCTGAACCTGCAATTCAGCACAGGTGAAGCCCTGAGGACCTACTCTAAGATTAGTCTGATGCAGGGGTGTCTTGCTTCAGTTTCTCCTGCTGTAAAGTGGAGCTGGTAGGGGGCATGATGAGGATGGAAGGAGAGGCTTAGCAGGCCCTGGCACATAGTGAGCACTCCACCCACAGACGATCAATTCCTGGGCTAAGCAGGGGAGGGGCCGGAGCAGAGAGAAGAGGCGACTCAGCAGGGCAGCTGTTCTCGAGGGCTCTGAAACATTTCCTAGAGATGAATCATAGGACTGAGGTTTTCTGACACCATAGCTGTGTGGGCTGGAGGCAAGCCAGCAATAATGATTAAAATATCACACTGTAGATGCAAAGATAACGGGAAACAGCTCATCGGCTTGTTACGGTTAGGTAAATAAGCACATAAGTATAATTAGGGGAACAGAAAATGTATTAGATCCTGTGACAGGTGGGGGGATAATGGAGAGGGTCTTGCTTCTTTAATGTTTTTAAGTTTTAAAATAGATCAAGTAGATCCACTTTACAAGCGAACATAACACATCACATCCCAGAAGAGAGCTCCTTTCGCTCCTATCCTGAGTGACGACAGGGGAAGGGTCTCTTCCAACGTGCTGGTGGAGATCAATCAGAACAGCCTCCATTCCCTTCAGCCAAGATGAAACAAGCACCTGCTGTGTCCTGTGTCACAGGCTGCCTGCTTGACACATGGGCCAGGGCCTTGCTATCCCTGACTCAGCGACTTTATAGGACCCCTGAGTAATGTGCATCCCAGCACTAGTATTTCTTGACATTCTCAGGTGCTGGGCACTGCACTGAGGGTGCTACATGTATGACAGGGCCAAATATGACAAAGGAACCAAGACAAGAGTGTCCTCCAGCAAGAGGGAGAACAATGGGCCAGGGGCAGGGCTGATTCCACTGGGAGCAGAAGGGCTTCCCTGGGAAGGGACTCTGCTGAGCCCCACATCCCGTGTGGGAGCTGCCATATGAAGAGCTGAGAGCAGGGTGCTCCCGGCCACAGGCAAAGCAAGAGCCAGGGCCCTGAGGAGACAGCGGATGCGGTCACATGGTGTCATCAGGAACCATCTCTCTGGGGACTAGAGACCCAGTCATGGCTGGGAAGGTATGAGAGGAAGGTGAGGTGGAGAATCCTCCCTGAGGCCACCTGTGGGCTATGGAAGAGGGCTGGATTTGATTCCAGTAGTCTCTGTAGTTCATGACATAACCAGACTGACCTTTTAAAAAGGGTCCTGTGACAGCTTGCAGGGTTGGCGGTGGCATCTGCCTCCTCCAGATGAGAGAAACAGAGGCTAAGTAGTTGCCCTGGATCAGCCAGAGTGAGCAAGCGTGTCACTGTGGCACAAACCAGCAAGGGGTAAACTGGCACAAAGCAGGTGGAGATGCCCATGATGGACAGTAGGCGCTCCCGGCAGGTCAGGATCCTACAGGGTGGCCAGGGAGAATGTGGAGAGCAGGAGGTAGAGAAACGCATCTAAAGCAAACAGACACTAAAACTGAACATTCTGAGCAGAGGGAGGGGCCAGGTCCAGGGAGCCAGGGGATGCACAAGGAGTCTGGAAAGAAGGAGTGGGGACCCAGAGAGTGGGCAGTATACCCCTAAAGCAGGGGTACTTCTCTGGGGTCAATGCCAAGACTGTTCCCTTGTGTGTTTCCAGGGCCGAATCCTAATATCTCCAAACACACCCTGGTGGTGGTCAACCCCAGGGTGCCCTTGAGCTCCCATCGCTGGCAGGCAAGCCTTCAGGATCAGTCAAATGCAGAGGTGAGTGCCCACTAGGCTGGGATGGGTGAGTGGCTCTGGCCGATTCCTTGCCTGATCTGAGGAGCCCCCATCCCCTCCCTCAGCTTCCAGTTAGTAACGCTGTTTAAAACTTTCCACGACAGAACATGTATAGCAGGGGCCACGTCTCCAAATGGCTCAGAGTGTGCCCCCTCGGCCTCCCGCTTGTACACAGTAGTTCTGTGGCCAAACATACCTTGCCACCCTTTCCCCTTTTGATTTTAAAATAAACAATGTTCACCAGACTAGAGGAAAAGAGCAGAGAGAAGAAAATAAAAATAACCAATCATTCCACCAATTAAGTTACCCATCCTTCCTTCCAGGTTTTTTGTTTGTTTGTTTTGTTTTGTTGAGTTGGAGTCTCACTCCGTCACCTAGACTGGAGCACAGTGGTACAGTCACAGCCACCCCAGTGTTAACCTGCTGGGCTCTGGCAATCTTTCTGCCTCAGCCTTCCAAGTAGCTGGAACTACAGGCCTGTGCTACCATGCCTGGCTTATTTTTTTATTTATTGTTGAGAGGAGATCTCACCAAGTTGCCTGGGCTGGTCTTGAACCTGTGGGCTCAGGCAATCCACTTGCCTTGGTCTCCCAAAATGCTGGAATTACAGGCTGAGCCACCAAGCCAGGCCTTATTTTTTAAAAAATAGAGATAGGAGCTCGGTATGGTGGCTCACGCCTGTAATCCCAGCACTTTGGGGGGCCAAGGTAGGAGGGCAACATAGTGAGACCTTGTCTCTACAAAAATAAAATTTTTAAATAGATGGGTATGGTGGCACATACCTGTAGTCCCAGCTACTCAGGAGGCTGAGATGGAGGGATCACCTGAGCCCAGGAGGTTGAGGCCATTGTGAGCCATGATTGTGACACTGCACTCCAGCCTAGAAAACAGAGTGGGCCCTGACTTGAAAAATAAAATGCAGTAAAAGAGATGGGTTCAGCCGGGCTCGGTGGCTCAGCCTGTAATCCCACGCCTTTGGGAGGCTGAGGTGAGTGAATTGCCTGAGCCCGCGGGTTCGAGACCCGCCTGGGCAGCGAGACCTCATCTCTACAATAAATCAAAAAATCAGCCGGGCGTGGTAGTGCACGCCTGTAATTCCAGCTACTCGGAAGACTGAGGCGGAAGGATTGCCGGAGCCCAGCAGGTCGAGTCTGCGGTAGAGCGGCCAGTGCACTCCAGTATGGGCGACAGAGTGAGACTCCAACTCAAAAAAAAAAAAAAGAGATGGGTTCTTGCTCTGTTGCCCAGTTTGGTCTCAAACTCCTGGGCTCAAGTGATCCTCCTGCCCAAAGTACCGGGATTACAAGGGCACCCAGCCCTTCTGGCTTTTTCTACATAATGTTTAAATACCAAGATAGGGTAGTCCGACTCTGACTTAATTCACTTTACAAGACATTGTGGATATTCCCTTTTTGTTTTGTGTTCTCCAACAAAGAAGTTTTTCACTGTGGCTTCTGCTGGAGCGTGCAGGCTTGCATTGGCTAATGTTCCATCCTCTTGAGGGGCATCGGGTGTTCACAGTTATCTCCAGTCTTCCCAGTGTTGTAATGAACCATCTCTCAGCCAGATCTTTGGATTAGGTTATTAATATTTCCTTAGGATAAAGCCCTAGATTTCTAATTGCCAGGTTAATTCTATGATTTTAAAATGACAATTACACTGGATTGTTGGAGCAGTAGAATTTGTAGTGGAAACGACATGAGTGGGCCAGGGCTGGCAGGGGCCAGCTCTACTGTCCTTGGGGTTCTTCCTTCCTCTCTCTACTGCCCAGATCCCAGATTCCCAAGTCCAATTTTGCATTTGAGTGATTTTGGAGGTAAAAATCTAGGAGAAGCCTTTGAGTACATTTTCCTCCTATCTGGAAGTCTTGGTTTTTCTAAGTGGTCTGGTAGAAAAGTCAGCTCCCAAGGCAGGAGTGTGAGCTGTGTTTCTTTACTAAAAAAACCATGATTTTTTGATTTTTAAGCTTTTTTAATTGAAGGAATGCAAATCTTAAGTGTTCATGCAATGATTTTTTACATATGGATACAGCCATGGGACCACCACCCAGGTCAGGAAGGATGACATTTCCTGCACCCTAGAAGGCTGTTTTCTCTGGGCCCCTTTGTAAAAAAACAGTGCAGGGACATAGCAAGGAAGGCAAAATTATGGTCTCATAGACACACACCCTGGTCATGGTGGTCAACTGCTGCATGAATAGATAGCAGGGTCCTAATGCTTCAGAGAGACGCAACCTCCTCCCTCTTGCTGCAAGAGGAGTGTAGAGGGTCAGAGTGTTGGATTCCGGAGTTTGAGCTCAGCTCCACCTTCTGGGCCATCTCTGTGAGCCTCAGTTTCCCCATCAGCAACATAATGATAGTTAAGCCTGTAATTCTCACAACACTCCCTCTTGTGGGGGGACTGTTATTATTCCGAGTTTTTAAACAAACGGAGGCATAGGAGAGGTTAAGTAATCAGCCAAGGTCACACAACTATTAAGAGTTAGAGCTGGATTTGACCCGAGAGCCTACTGCTCCTACAAGATATCTTTTCTTGGGGGGGGGGTTCTCACTCTGTCACCCAGGCTGGAGTGCAGTGGTACACTCATGCTTACTGCAGCCTCCATCTCTTGGGCTCAGGTGATCCTTTTGCTTCAGCCTCCTGAGTAACTGGGACTACAGGTGTGTGCCACCACACCCAGCTAATTTTTTTGTTTTTGTTTTGTTTTGTTTTGTTTTTTTAGAGACAAGGTCTCACTATGTTGAATAGGCTGGTCTCAAACTCCTGGACTCAAGCAATCCTCCCGCCTGAGGCCCCCAAAATGCTGAGATTGCAGGCATGAGCCACTGCGCCCAACCAAAATATCTCAGGGGTTTTGGGAGAATTCTAGGCCACAGATGGAAGTGGTTTATGATAATGATGAGAATTGTTCTTATTGGTATCATTGTGGTGCAGCAACACTGATCATCCTAAGCATGTCTTCAGTTATTATTTATCCAAAAAGACTGGATAAAAGCCTGGGTGCCCTTCGACAGATGGCCTCCTGGGCTCAGACTACTTGTATTTCAACAACAGAGAAAGGTGCTTTTTTTTTCCTCCAAGAGACAGCTGACATGTATCCTTTTCCCTGAAGTTCCAGGGTTTACATATATATTATCTACAGGATCTTCCCAACAACCTGGGAGGTGTGTCATCTTCAGGCTGTAGTGAAGGGAGCATAGCTCAGAGAGGTGAAAACGTCTGCCAAGCTTTAAATCCAGTTCACCTAGGGCCCTTGGTAGGACTCACCAAAACCTCTTGTGTGGCTGCTGTTCTGTCTTGTGTGTCCTGCCCATGCTGGGACACTTCTGGCTGTCAGGGCCCTGACCATTCCTGGTCTCTGGACTGGTTTCAGACAGAATGATTTGTTAGGACTGATGGATTCTTCTGGGGGGGCATCTGTAGGATTTGGGATCTGGCCTGAGTGGACATGTTCACCATGCCTTGTGCTCCACTCAGGTCACAGTGGCTGTCACTAGCGTCCCCCATGCTATCGTGGGGAAGTACTACCTGCAGGTGAAAACTGGAAGCAACACCTTTCAGCCTGAAGAAGACGCCTTGTACCTTCTCTTCAACCCATGGTGTAAAGGTACCGTGAATCTCAGGTCTGTGGGGAGCACCAGGTGCCCTGGCAGGACTCATTTGACTAAATGAGAGACCGTAAGTGCCATGGCAATGCACGGGTCTGTGCGCCTTGGTTTGCTCTCAAGGTGCTTGCAGACTAATGGAAGGGATGTGACCCAGGAAAGATTGTGGACATGACTGGAGGTCCCTTTTTGTGGCAAAGCCCTTGGAGCAGAGGTCTCCATTCGCTGTTTCCACTTCTCTCTTACTGCCTTACCTGGCCCAGCCGGCACCTGCCTCCACCACGCCACAGAGGCTCCCTTGGTCAGGGTGTCTAGGCCTGAATTGGAGCTGGTTCTTCCCTTCTGCTCTCTGAGGTCCGTTCTCTTCTCTCCACACTCATCCACCCAACTCCTTTCTCCCTTTTTGCAAATGTCACTCACAGTGACTTCCGCCATAGTCAGCACCAGCCTCTCTCCAGAAGGTGCTGAACATCTTGTTGCAACTTCAAACATGGTGCATTCTATGCCAACTCTTTTCTATACCTGCCCTTCCTCCCGGCACCTTCTTGAAGTTAAAAGCTGTCAGGTACTCAAGCTTGATAACAGGGGTCTCTTTTTTCTTTTTCTTTTTTCAAACTTTGTATTTGGAAATTATTTCAAGCTCACAGAAAAGTAGCAAAGTAGTATAAAGAACACCCACGTGCCTTTTGTACAGATTCACCTCATGAGAACATTTTGCCCCTCTTTGCTTTATCATTTTCCATCTCTACACACACACACACACACACACACACACACACACACGCACTTTATTTCTGAACTGTTTGAGAGTAAGTTACACACAACAAGTCTCTTAATCCTTATATACTTTAGTATACATTCCTCAGAAACAGGGATATCCTAATATGACCACAGCACAGTTATCAACTCCAGCAAACTAAGAGTCAACATAACACTCTTATCATCTGTTCTCTGGACTATTCCAGTCTAGTCACTTGATTCAATCATGTTCTTTATAACTTTTTTCCCCTCTGGCACAGGATCCAGCCTAGGACCCTCTATTGCATTTAGTTATCATGTCTGTTGCTTTACCGCCTTTAATCTGGAATGGCTCCTCAGTTTTTCTTAGGCTTTTTTTTTGGACATATTTTCGAGGACTAGAGATCACCCTTTTTAAAAAGGTCATTCCTCATTTTGGGTGTGTCTGATGGTTCACCATTTTTAGATTCGAGTTTGCAACCCTGGCTGGAATATTATGCAAATGATGCATCCCTTTCAGAAATTCACATCTAAAGACACACGGTGTCTACTTACCTCTCATCTGGAGGTGTTAAACATGATCATTTGGTCAAGGAATTGTCAACATTTTCTGCTATATAGTTACTATATTTTCCTTTGTAACTAACAAGTAGTCTATGTGGAGACACTTTAAGATCATGCAAACATTCCATTCCTCATCAGAATTCCCCACCTCCAGATTTAGCATCCACTGACATTCTCTCCTGTGCCAAAGTGACTGTCCAATACCAGCTCTCCAACACATCTACCTGCCAGCTCAGGTATCTCCTGTAAGCACAGCCCTCCCTTCACCTCCAGCCATCCATCTCTCTCTCTCTCTCTCTATTACCTGTGTGGACTTACGGACTCTTTCTTTTCAGTGGTTTACAGTTCATACTTGATCTTCATTATGTTTAGCTCATCTTGTTCTGGATTTTCCCAGAAGTCCCTCACAGCTGGCTCAGGAAGTTCTTTTGGATGCCTGCCTTGACCTCCCCTCCTGCTCACCTCCCTCCCCCAACAATTGCTGTTCCAAGTCCCTCCAAAAGACCTTGCAGACCCCCAGCTCAGATGGCCTCTGCCCCGGGGTGGGTGATAACCCCTGTGCGTGTGTGGTCTTGCTTCAGAGGACATGGTATTCATGCCTTCTGAGGAAGAGCTGGCAGAGTACATCCTCAACGACACCGGCTGCCATTTCGTGGGGGTTGCACAATACATCAGACAAAAGCCCTGGAACTTTGGTCAGGTAAGGATATGTCATCCTGTGACTGGACCAGGCCTCACTTGCTAGACCACCTTTTTAGCTGGGTAGTAGCCAGTAAAGGTTGTGGAAAAAGGTTTGTAAACCTCAGGTCAAACTGCAGCCTCATATGTGTGACACTTGCCCTGACGGGGGGTGACCTCTACAGGCTGTGCAGGCTGGGGTGAGGGACTGAGAGAGGATAGGTGGGATTGGAGTCTCAGCCAGAAGCCCCTCCTCTGGGCCCACCCAGGGCCTTTCCCATCCTCCCTTGCTCCTTCCCCCCAACTCCTCCCAGTGTATTTATCAGAAAACCAACCACTTGACAATTATTTACAAGGAAACCCTGTGACTGCTAGAGTGTTGGTGTTGACAAAGAGCTTCCAAAAGTCGAGGGAGATTTTTTTAGAAGACTCGATGTGGAGGCCTTGCAAAGTGGAAGGATGAATTGTTTGTGCAAACACGAGGCAGAGCAGCAGAGTGGACACCAGCACATGATTGCTCTGAAGTCCAGGGTGTGCAGATTCATGGCACCAAAAACTTCCAATCTTCCCCTCATCAGATTTTGCAAGGAAAAGCTTCTGGAAAATGCCAAAGCCTTCACAATGGCTTGAATTTCTTCTACTCTCCCCGGGTTTGGACACCCAGGATAGGCCGGAAGTAGGACTGCTGGAGGAGGGCCTCCCTTTGTGAGGTCAACCGTGTGCTCTGTGCTAGGCACACCACAGGCATCCTCTTCGCCCTAACTCCATCCCTGGAAGTCTGTGTCACCATCACCCCTTGCAGACGGGGCAGTGGAGGGAAATGAAATTGGGAGGAAGCAGATGGAGAGGGAAGAAGGAGTGGGGGTGTGGGGGCAGAGGAAGGAAGAAATGAAGACCACAGGAGGCATGGAAAGGAGGAATTGCTTGAATCCTGGGTAGTTGCCCCTCTTTGAAAATCAAGGGACAACTTTAAGAGCCCTAAAGAATTATAACTGCAAAACTTTCACAGATTCTTTCTGGAGCATGAACACTGTAATCTATTATTTTATTTTATTTTGATAGTTTTCCCCCTCAGATTGCAAAATTAACATATGCGCTTCAACTCTGTAAATATATTCAAACCATTGAATCATTCAGTTTAAATGGTAGATTTTATGAGATGCAAACTATATCTTGATTAACTGGTTTAAAATAAATAGGGTTTCAAAAGTAGCATGTGTTTATCATAAATGGTTTAGAAGACTTAAGAAATATAGAGATGTAGAAAGATAATAAAATCATTCCTAACCTCTTCCCTCAGTGATAATAACTTAACGTTGTAGTATATTTCATTCTTTTTCCTATTCCTACTGCTTACATATTGAAGTAATCCTATCTGTGCATGACTTTGTAGCCTGTTTCATTTATTTAACTTGATTACAAAGGAGTTTTCCCCACAGTGTTATAAACTCTTTTTTGTAATGGCTGTACCCTATAGATCTATGGACTTACTTAACTACTGCCCTGTGGCTGAACTTTTAAGTGGTTTCTAATTTTGGATGCTGTGGTGGACTTTTTTGTGAGACTGCAGGCAGGGGAGATGGGTTACTCCACATGGCTGCTATGATGTGCAAATTAGATGGTGTGTGTTGAGTTTCTGACACAGGGGAAACTCTTATTAATTGCCTCTTTCTTCATTTTCCGAAATAGTTTGAGAAAGACATCCTGGACTGCTGCATTTTGTTGCTGGATGAGAGCTCCCTCAAGCCCATAGAAAAGAGGGACCCTGTGCTGGTGTGCAGGGCTATGTCTGCTCTGGTAGGTGTGGGACACCTGGGCTCAGTATAAGAGATTCTGGTAACACAGAAGTCTGTGGAGTAATGTTGCCCCCAGTTTGACGCTGTCTTGTACTATCTGAACATGATTCTAGGCTTTTCCCCCAGCTAGACTGTGAGCTCTTTGAAGCATACCATGGTGCTATGGCCAATCAATCATTCAAAACTATCAAGAAATGTACATTTGCTGAACTCTGTTCTGAGTGAAGGCTTCCAAGTCACACCCGTGTTCAGAATCCCAGCCCTGACACTTTTGGACTGACCTTAGCTATAAATGACTTAACTTGTCTGATCCTCAGTTTCCCCATCTGCAAAATGGTCTTAATAGGTAAGGTCCTCCTACGGTCTGCATGCTGGGCACCAGTTAGGGTAAGCAAATCATTCCAATTTCCTTGAGACTTTCCTGGCTTTAGCATTGAGAAACCCCTCAAATCCTCTACTCTGCCTGGCCACTTGGAAGTCAGATTTCCCAGAGCAGTAATTTTCAAACATTTTGGTCTCAGGACCCCTTAAAAATGATCAAGGATCCCAAATAGCTTGTGTTGATATGGTTTATAAGTATTTACTGTATTAGAAATTAAAATGGAAAAGTTTAAAGATATGTATTTATTCTAGAAGAATGATAATCCATCATGTTAACTTAAATAGTGCATTTTAATTTTTAAAATCACCTATGTTTTTTGAAGTATAAAACACGCAGTGAGAGGAGTAGCATTGTTTTACATTTGAAAATCTCTTTAATGTCTGGCTTAATAGAAGTCAGCTGGAATTTCCTCTCTGCTTCTGTATTCAATCCGTTGAGGTCCATTGTTTTAGTTGGAACATATGGAGAAAGTCTGGCCTCACACAGATATGCAAAGATTAAAAGGCAGGACTATTTCCATAGCCTTTTCAGATTATGGAAGATATTTTTCTTCGATTCCACACCTAGGCTCAACAAGCGGTAGTCTCTTAAAGTTGGTTACAATATGAAATCTGAAACCACATCCATTTTTTACCCTCTGTACGCTTATGAGAAAGTGAAAGTGAAAAAGGCAAATATTGCCTTGGGAGAATTATGCAAATTATAGCACCACTGAGGGATTATTAGGTAAATGACAATGCCCCTGAGAACCATCCTCCAAAGGCCCACTGACTTCAGCTGAGTGGCTATCTTGCATCTGTGGGTGGGAGCAGACATATATTCATCTCCAGGTGGGTCTGTGAGCGGAAAGGTCTTAAGTCCAGGGCTTATGAAGCGCTCTCTTTGCTGAGTAACTGTGAGCCTGTGCCTGGTGCATGTGGGGTACCTCATAAATGCTGGGCTCCTGTTCCCTGAATGGCCCGCATTCCATGTGAGGCTGGTGGGATCATTGGGGCCCTGATGCTGACCCTCTGGGCCCAGGCACAGAGCCCGCCAGGCCTGCTCTTTCATTGTTACCCCCATGGGAGCTTGCTGTGAGAGGCTCTAGTTCTCAGCAGTGCAGGTGAACTTGCACATATTGGCTGCTTCTCTCCTTTCAAGCTCCGTGACTCTAGATAAGACGCTAAGCCTCTCTGGGCTTCTGTTAGTTAGCACGTCTTTGTATTATTATGAGGACTCAATAACACATAACAAGTGCCCAGCCCAATGCCTGACACACTGTGGGCCTATGTGTGGCCTATTCCCAGGTAATTCTTATGAGTGTTGAAGTTTCGGGAGCAGTGGATTAAGCCACTGCTTGTGTCAGAGATGAGGAAACCAGCCAAGGGAGAAGGGGAAGTTGACCCGAGGGTGCATGGTAAGGTGGTGGTTGAGGCAGCTCTTCTGACTCCCAGTGCAGTGCTCCTTCCTAAAGCCCTCCAAGCTCACAATGAGGAGCCAAGGCGAGCACCTCAGAGCTCCAAGATATTGCAGGAATCACTTCCAAAATTCGGTTGCCAAAGATTAGATTCTGCGTTCAGGAGTCTCAGAAGCCCGTGCAACATTGGGGACTCAGCTTTAGGTCTGACAACTTTCCCCCTTTGTTCTCCCAGGTCCCCTGTTAATAGTCCTCCTTCACCCCTAGATATCCATGGCCATCAAGGGGCCTGCTTGAGCTACTGTGAATTTCTGACCAGCAGGTGGAGCTTCTGGCAGGGCTCCCACACCAGGCAAGGAACCTCCATGGGGCAGTTAGTGCTTTCCTCATCTATCGCTGTGTACCAAGTCACCCCGTCAGTCACAGTAGCTGAAACAACAAACATTTATTATCTCACATGTCTGTGGGCCAGGAATCTGGTTCTGGCTCAAGGCTTCTCACAGACTGCAGGCCTCTCAAGGTTGGAACCAGGGAAGACCCGCCTCCAGGTTCATTTACCTGGTGTGGGCAGCCTTGGGTTCTCACCACAGGGGCCTTACCATAGGGTGACTTGCACCTGCAAAGCAAGCACGTGACACAGGGAGGGCCCAAGCTGGAGGCCACAGTCTTTGTAACCTCATCTCACAAGTGGCAGCCATTCCTTTTTTGCTGTGTTCTGTTGGTTAGAGGTGAGTCACTAGGTCTAGGAGAGAGACTGACTGGGGGCCACACCTGGAACAGGAATGTGCTTTGTTCTTTCCACAGGGGAACAGAGCATAGTACATTAGGAGTTTTGAAAGTCTGAGTGTGCTTTGGGCTCAGTGTCGCTACCATTCCTCCCTTATCTCTCCCCTCCCCCACATTGCTCTACTGGCAGCTTGGGTCCAGCAGGCACTGGCAGGCTGGGGCCACTACTAGATTTCACAGGAGGAAACAGCTGCCTGGAGCACAGAAGTGACTGGGTGACAGTGAAGAGGGGATGTGTGTGTCCCGATGCCTGTCTCCCTTTCATTCGTTTTTATCCCTTCTGACCACTCTTGGGCATGGGTGGCCTCTGTGCTCCCCCTGATTTTAACAAGTAAAGAGGCTTGTTCAGCCACATTACTTGAGAGGTCATGAGAGGCCCAGCCCACACCAGTTTTTTAAACTCTTTGTAAATTTAAACTGAACAAACCCCCAAACAGGATTCAGAAATTGTGGCAGATTGTAAGCATTTCAACGTAACAAACTGACATCTTTAGCACCCTGGGAAACATGAGGCTGTATAATTGTGTTTTTCATGAGGTATCATGGGGTTTGTGAAGAATGCTAATATGCTGACCAGAAGAGTGTGGGTGGGATGGGTGTGGTCAAAGCAAGACCACGGGATCAAAGATTTGTGACTGTGTCACCTTTAGTGTCTTCAGAAGACTCCTCTGTATCTACCTGTACAATAGAGATTGAAATGAAAGTCTAAGTTAAAACTGTTTGTTAATATGTTAATTTTTAAATTATTTATATATATGTTAAGTCACTGTTTGTTGTACGTGCTTTAAAAGATGAACTTGGGCTGGGCGCAGTGGCTCATGCCTATAATCCCAGCACTTTGGGAGGCCAAGGTAGGAGGATTGCTTGAGTCCAGGAACATAGCAAGACCCCCCTCTAAAAATTTAGGCAGGCAGGCGTGGTGGCATGCACCTGTAGTCCCAGCTATTCAGGAAGCTGAGGTGGGAGGATCACTTGAGACCAGGAGGTTGAGGCTGCGGTGAGCCATGATCGTGCCACTGTTCCCCAACTTGGATGACACAGTGGGGGGACCCTGACTCCCCCCCCCCAAAAAAAAGATGAACTCATGTGGCTTTGCCTTCTCTCCGGTTTTAATAAAGTGGGAAGGATTGTCCAGCTAGGACTCCTTGGAGGTTAAGAGAGAGGCAGGCCAAGGCCCAACCCAGGTCATCCTCAAAACAACTCTAAAGGTAGGTGTTGTAATGATCATCATTTTACAAAGGAAGAAACTGAGGCATAGAATGACAACCATCTACCCCAGCTGGTATGCTCTTTGAACCTGGACAAAGCATGTCCTCCAAGTGTTCTGAGATACTCTGTGGTGTCCACATTGGGGGCTGGGTGGCCAGGCTGGCAACTCCTTGTTCCACTGAAGGGTAGACACTGATCACGTCTCTATGTGTGTGGCAGGTGAACTTTGAGAATGGCAAAGGCGTGCTCGTTGGGAATTGGTCTGGGAAGTACGAGGGTGGCACGGCCCCATACCTGTGGACAGGCAGCGTGCCCATCCTGCAGCAGTACTATACCACCATGCAGCCTGTGTGTTTTGGGCAGTGCTGGGTGTTCTCAGGGATCCTGACCACAGGTAGGAGGGAGGCCCAGGGGCCAAGGGGAGAGGTACCCAGGGAGGGGCTCCCAGCCCCCACAGTTGTCAGTCATCCCCACCTGGGGTCATTTCAGTGCTGAGAGCATTGGGCATCCCAGCACGCAGTGTGACAGCCTTTGACTCAGCCCACGACACAGAAAGAAACCTCACCGTGGATGCCTACGTGGATGAGAAGGGCAAGACAATCACCGATATGACCTACGACTCTATCTGGTAGGGTCCCTCCTTCCTATCCTGTCCTGCCTCCTTCTCCCAGTAATTTTTATTATTATTATTTGGGGTTTTTTGTATTTTAAGACACAGGGTCTTGCTTTGTTGTCTAGGCTGGTCTTGAACTCCTGGGCTCAAGTGATCCTCCCACCTCAGTCTCCTGAGTAGCTGGGATTACAGACATGATCGCTGTACCTGGCATCCCCAAAATCTTCAAGTCCCAGTCTCTAGGCCCTTCCAACCTACAGACTCCACTGTGCTGTAGGACTCCAGAGACTGATTCAAGTTGTAGCAGTCGATCATTACTCCTGAAATTCAGTGTTTTTCGAAGTTCAGCCTTGGACAATCAGTATGAAATCACCTGGGGGTGCTTGTTAAACATGCAGAGTCCTGTGCTGGAGCCCCTGCCTCTAGAGGCAAAGGTCAGGAATCTATTTAACGTTAGCACCCCGCCCAGGAGATCTAGTATGTACTGCTGTTTGAGAACCTTTGACTAACTGGTACCTGCTGGCTAGCATGAAGCGCTATTTCCTTTGCTCTGTGATCTAGAGCACACAGGCCGCTTGCAAACTGAAAGTGACCACAGGAGAGAAGATGGAGAATGAGAAGTTGCAGAGAGAGTGGAAGAGGTGGGAAGGTCAGGGCATGATTATAAATACCCGAGCACTGCAGGTGAAGTTGGGCCAGGCGGGGATGCCATTTCTCTCAGCTTTCACTTGAATGTTGCTGAGAAGTTGTTGCTCATCTACCAAGACAGGAAAAAAAAAAACAAACAGACTTGAAACTTTTAGGAGGGAAGCACTAAAGCAGTATTATTGGCAGATGATATATAGCTGACCCTCGAACAGCATGGGTATCAACTGCACAGGTCAACTTATATGCAGATTTTTCCAGCTGAACACAGATATATTTGCAGGATGCACAACCCATGTGTTTGGAGGTCTGACTCGTCCTGTATGCAGGTTCCACAGAGCCAGCTGCAGGACTTGAGTATGTGTGGATTTGGGTATACATTGGGTCCTAGAAATAACCCCAGGATCCTGGGGTATGACTATAATTGTCTACCCAGAAAACCAAGAGACCCAACTTGAAATAGCAAGAGATAATATGAGAGTTCAGAGACTGGCTCATTACAAAATTGCTGTCAACAAAATCAGAATCCCACTGAGTGACCGTCTACAGCCTAGAAAAGGATTACAACTGTTAGTTCATTCATTCTTCAGCAAATGTTTACTAGGTGTCTATGATGCCTCAAACACTGAAGAGTCAAGACAAACAGAATTTGGTTATGCCTTGAGTTCACTGTGTTCATTGGTGAGAACTCCCAGGCTCTTGGGGAACCATGGGCAAGAGCAGGGTCTCATGAGATTTCTGCTCCCCACCCCCCACCCCCAACACTCGCTTGCACCTGGAGGCTTTCCAGGTGGGGCAGGTGGGACTCAGTGTTCACAAAGGTTTCCCAAGCCTTGAGAACAACCTCAGTGGGTCCCTGATGATTGGCATGTGTATCTCTAACTGTGTTTGGGGGCGGACTGGGTGGGGCCTGTTGTTGACCTGCTGCAGGAATTTTCATGTGTGGACGGAGGCCTGGATGAAGCGTCGCGATCTGCCCAAGGGCTACGATGGCTGGCAGGTAGTGGATGGCACACCACAGGAGCGCAGTGAAGGTGAGCAGACCAGTGGGAAGTGCTCTGTGTGTGCTGCTCTGCTGGCCTGGTCCTAAATCCTGTGGGTCTTGGGTGGGTAGCAAAGCAGGTGGGGGATTGTTTTAATAACAGTTTCCAGGAACAAAGGCATGCCCAGGCATCCCTGCCAGTCCCACTGAGCAGGGGCTTCAGCTTGCTAGATATGTTTATAAAGATTATGCTAATAATACTGATGACAGTAATGATATGGGAGTACTTTAAGGGTTCCTACCATGTGACATGTGTGATAGCTACATGGTCCATTTAAGTCACAACTAACCTTTCAAAATAGCTTCTGTCATTATCCCCATTTTACAAATGAAGAAACTGAGGCTCGGGGAGATGAAGTGAGTCCTGAGGTCACATAGTTTCCAAGTAGCTGGACAAGATCGCAGCCCATGTGATGTAATGGGGATGATTATCTCACTTGGTTATGGGCTACCAAGTCCTGGGTGAGAGACAGCAGTTCCCCTGGAAGGGCTTTGGGAGATGTCTTTGTATAGATGGGGAAACAGAGGCATGGGGTTGGTCTCTGGTTACTTGGAAAATCTATGGAATCAAGTTATCTTTATTTTAAATAGTGAGTCCTAGTATTACAGACAAAAAAGTCTGCCTAATAAAGGAAAATAAATTCAACAAACAGTTTTGACACTTTTTAAGGCAAACCCTCCTGAAGGAAACTTTATGTGACACCTTATTATGTAAAAGCAGAACTGCCCTAGCTGAAGTGTGACCTGGGATGAACCTGCCCCTGGCTCCCTGATACCTCTGCCACATTCCCATAGCCTCTTAGGGACTTCAGCTTACATGGGACACTGGCCTGAGTAGAGGACTGTGAAGGTCTGTCTAGAAACAAGTCTCAGTTTGGCTGTGAACCTTGTTCCAAGGACAAGGCAAATTTACCTGCCTGCAGGGCCAGAGAGTGAAAGGGATGTCTAACTGGGAAGGTGAGGACCCAGAGACATGAGCATGCAGGTCCCCAAAGGCATTCAAACTAAAACTTAAAAACACTCTGCTATCTCCAAACCCCTCCATGTGCAACCCTTGATTCCTCCAGTTGCAGTGTGAGCCCACGTGGTCCTGAAGGCAGAAAGTGCAGTTAAAAGTGAAACCAGCCTCCACGTTTCTTAGAGATCAGGCATTGCTCTTAAAATGAGAGGTAAAAGGGGATGGAAGGTGGCTCCCAGAGATGGGAGGAGCTGGTAACACACTTATACTCCCTGCCTTCTGCCTGAAGATTCTCAGCTGGGCATGTTGAGAGCTGTTTCTACCCAGGGAGTCCCAGAAGCGTTTATTGAGGTGGGAATAGTCACAATGGCAACCAGACAGTGAGGAGCCCCGTGCCCCTGTTCAAAAAGGGACCTTAGAAGCCCACTTAACAGCAGGGCTCGGTGGCTCAGCCTGTAATCCCAATGCTTTGGGAGGCTGAGGTGAGTGGATTGCCTGAGCCCGCGGGTTCGAGACCCACATGGGCAACTTGGCAAGACCTCATCTCTACAATCAATCAAAAATTAGCCAGGTGTGGTAGCACGTTCCTGTAGTTCTGGCTACCTGAAAGGCTGAGGTGTTAAGGATCGCCAGAGCCCAGCAGTTTGAGGCTGCGGTGGCTGGGAGCGTGCCACTGCACTCCAGTCTGGGTGACAGAGTGAGACTCCAACTCAAAAAAAAAAAAAGAAGAAGCTCACTTAACCCTCTCCCTTTATACATAATGCCTGAGGTCCATCCACAAGTTAGGGGCAGAGCCAGCGTTAGATGAGTCCAGTTCTTCTGAGTCCTGGTTCCTCACTACACGGAATTCACAGGCTTGGCCTCTTGAAAGAGGTAAGTGAGAAAAGCCTGTGTGTAGAAGATGAAATAAAATAATGGGCCAGGTGTGGTGGCTCAGGTCTGCAATCCAGCACTTTGGGAAGCTGAGGCGGGAGGATTACTGAGCCCAGGAGTTCAAGGCTGTAGTAAGCTGTGATCATGTCACTGCACTCCAAACTGAATGACAAAGTGAGACATCAACTCAAAAAAAAAAAAAAAAAAAGCAAAAGCAAACAAACAAAAACCCCAAACTAACACTGAGATTGGTCAGCCAAGAGACTAACTCTCACCAAGTTGTCAGTGACTGATAAGGGGACCTCTCTATGCACATGCCAGAAATTTAAAAGAGAGCACTTAGAATGGAAATGTTTTCATGAGCCTAGATCCATAGCAACAGTTTGCATTCATTTCAGGGGCACAATGCTGAATACTTTGCCTGTATTATTTCATTTAATCCCAATAGTCTTATGAGGTTGGTGCTGTTTTTATCTCCAGTTTTCTAGGATGTGGATCCACACACAGGTAAAGTGACTTGCTCAAGGTCACAAAGCTTCAAGGTTTGACACCAGATGTCAGACTCACATTGTGTGACTCTGTGCTCCACTGGGAACTGGTATGCTAGGATGGGTTGACAGGCAGAGTGACTTCCTATAACTGGGATGGAGGCTTCCTGACCTGCTTCAAGTCAAAGCTGCCATATGTCCCTCTTTTTGGAAGTGTTACCTTTTGAGCAAAGCTTGCCTGCCAGTCCTGTTAGGGTTTATTTTTTTTTTTTTCTGTCACTGGGTCTAGGCAGGGTTGGCTGGGGAATCCTCCTGAGAACTGAGAGCCACCCTCCCTGACTTCCCTTCAGGTGCCTACTGCTGCGGGCCCTCGCCACTGGCTGCCATCCGTAAAGGCGACATCTTCATGGTCTATGACACCAAGTTCATCTTCTCAGAAGTAAATGGTGACAAGCTCATCTGGATGGTGAAGTCAGTGAATGAGCAGCAGGAATTACACGTGGTCTCCAAGGAGACCATGGGCATCGGGAAAAACATCAGCACCAAGGCAGTGGGCCAAGACAGCCGGAATGATATCACCTCTGAGTACAAGTACCCAGAAGGTGACCAGCATCATAGGGCTCCTTCTAACTCAGCCCTGAGTCACCAAGACCATGAAAATAGTCAAGAACAGGGAGTGGCAAACCTTTCTGTAAAGGACTTGATAGCAAATATTTTAGGCTTGTGTGGGCCATCCAGCCTCTGTGGCAATTACTGTGCTCTCCTGGGTAGCTTTAAGGTAGCCACATAGACAAATGCATAAGTGAATGAGCGTGATTATGTCCTAGTCACATTTTATTGAGACATGTAGGTGGTGGGCTAGGTTTGGCCTACAGGCCAAAGTCTGCCAACTCCCAGTCAAGATGACAATGGTGATGGTAAAGAGTATGAATTTCTACATTGATTTTTATTCATAGCTATCATTTATCACCAACAATAGCAGCTACCATTATGATTAACCATTTGTTAATAATTATTACTAATTAATAGTTGTGGCAGCAGCTAATATTGCTTGAACATTTACTACATGCCTATCTCACTGCTAAGCATGTGATATTCCTGACCTCACTTGGTCCTCACACTGGCTTTTGAGGCCTGTACTCTAGTTAACATTTTAGAAAACCAGTGTTGGGGTTCAGAGATGCCAAGTTACTTGTCCAAGCCCTCAGTGAGTAAGTAGCCGCTCTTATTCGTCCCACTGCACACACCTCTGCAGGTCCCACACCAAGCCGGGGGCTTCTCTGGAGGCAGGTCTAGCCTGGTGGGGGGAGGTGGGGCATGTTCAGTCAGACAGGAGGTATGTTCCTTGGCTTTCTGGTTCCGATGGTTCATTTGGAACATGGAGGTGCCATTTGCTGTGCTTAGGCCCACAAAGGGGGTGAAGACAATCCAGGGAGGGAGGATGAGTCGGAATTCAGGGTGAACTCAGGATGTCAGGAGAATATCCAGGGACGGGTAGAATGAGCCCAATGGAGAGTGAGCACACAGGTGTTGGCAGTGACACAGGTGCTGCCCATAAGTTTCCTTTGTCCTGAGATGGGCTGCTCCTGATACTGTGACCTTATTATCCCTTAGAACAGGCCTCTCATCCCTCCTACCTATCCTAGCTGCGGTGTTGGGCTTCCCTATGAGTGGCCAGGCCTCTTCCACATCTGCAGACAGCCCTCCCTGTCCCCAGGGCTTCCTCGGTTCCCATCTGAGCCCCCAATTTCTCAGCAGCAAGCTTTAAGACCCTTCTCTTTTCATCCTGGCTGACCTGGTTGGTTTTGTGTGGGTCTTTCTTCAAGTGAGCTGTTAGGACTGGGGAGCAGAAAGCATAACTTGTACCTCTTTTAAAGAATGTCCTAATTGAGGTCTGTGCATTGCTTCACCAGCTGATGAACGCTGGGAGCTCTCCAGTACCTGGCAAATTAGGGATTGTCTTCTCACCCTGGCCTTCTGGGCCTCGCAGAACTGGCTTCTAGCTTTCTTCCTGAGTTCCAGTTCATCTCCAGCTGTGCCGCCTGCTTCTCTCTGAAATGACTGGCTACTTTCCCTCTACCAGACTTCTGCCACGCTCTCCCCATCTGGAACTTTCTCCTCTGCAGTCTACCATCCACACCCTCCCGTTGCTCAGACCCTGCCTCTGTTCCTGCTGATCCTCAGTCACATAGAGCTTTCTTTCTTCCACGGCCCCTTGGCTGTGGCTCCCATACCAGGAACTGAGGAAATGCAGATGACTTTATATGGTTTCCTCAAAGGGTTCAGAGTTTAGACGGGAGCAAACAGAATGTGGGGTGTAATAGGAAGGCAGGATATAGTAAGGGCTGCTAGAGATGGAACCTCTGGCTGTGTTGGGGAATGGAGGGTGGTGTCCAGGAAGGCGGGCTTTTTCCCAGCCTTCATTGCAGCATAGTCACAAGCAGGTCAGTTGGGACTCCAATTTATTGTGAGCTTTGTGAGTTTATACAGAACCTTGCACGGTGTAGGCCCTCAGCAAATATTTCCTGACTATAAATGAGTCAAGCAATGACTGCCAAGGCGGCCCAGGACAAACTGGAACTCTCCTCTCTGAAGTCTCTTTGTGTTCAGAGTGGATGTGGATGGAGAGCTTTGTGGCTAAGTTCAGAAATCCCTCCTACAGCTGCTGTCTGTTGAATAAAATCTTATCCCCAAGTTTGTTTTGAGACTGGGCAAATTTGATCAAAAGCAATTAGGCCAGAAGGAGTCTTTAAAAAAAAAAAAAAGGCTAGGTGAGGGAAGTATCAAGGAGAGAGAGATAGGATAGAGAGGGAGACAAATGGTATCTGTCAACTGCTATACTTGATGGTGTTCCTCAGTCTCTGAGGCTCTGTTCAGCTTTTCTCATTCTTTTTTCTTTGTCTCTCAGACTTGATCATCTTAGTTGACCTACCTTCAAGTCTGCTGACTCTTCCTTCTACAAGCTCTAGTCTGCTATTATTGTAGTTTTCAATTTCAGAGTTTCTATTTGGTTCTTTTTAAAAAATAATTTTAATCTCTTATTCTCTGTTTGGCAAGTCGCTGCTCTCATATGTTCCCTTAGTTATTTTAATATATTTAAAGTTGGTAATTTAAAGTCTTTGTCTAGCTGGGCATGGTGGCTCATCCCTGTAGTCTCAGCACTTTGGGAGGTTGAGCTAGGAGGATTGTTTGAGTCCAGGAGTTCAAGACAAGCCTGGGAAACACAGTGAAACGTCGTCTCTACAAAAAATTTTTAAAAATTAGCCAGGCATGATATCACACGCCTGTAGTTGCAGCTACTTGGGAGACTGAAGCAGGAGAATTACTTGAGCCCAGGAGTTCAAGGCTGTGGTAAGCTATGATTGTGCCACTGCACTCCAACCTGGGTGGCAGTGAGAACCAAACTAAAAAAAAAAGAAAAGAAAAGAAAAAAATATTTTTTTCTAGTAAGCTCAATGTCTGGGTTTTTTCAGGAACAGTTTCTATTGACAGTTTTTCCTGCCCTGTGTATGGGCCATACTTTTTTGTTTCTTTGCATGTCTTGTAATTTTCTGTTGAAAATCAGACATTTTAAAGATTATAATATGGGAACTCTGGAAATCAGATCCTGTACCCCATCCCAGGTTTGTTGTTTCTGTTTGTAGTTTTTGTTGCATGACTAACAACATGCAATGTTTAATGACTTCCCTGATATCATTCTGTAAAGTCTATAATCTTTATCGTGCAAGACCACTGAAGTCTCTGCTCAGCTTGCTTAGTGGTCAGCTAGTTACTGGACAGAGATTTCCTTGAATTCCTTAAATCAATAAGACTCCTAACCTTTTCCAAGAGACTCTGCGTGCAAGATGGGGGTACACACACATTTAATGCTCTGGCAGATAATTTACAACTCTTCCTTTGCCTTCACTTCCTGCTTGTGCAGAGCCTCAAGATTAGATAGGAGTATGATCTTAGGGCCTTATTAGGTCTTTCTCAGACCATCTACATTTTGAAGAATCTATCTGAGCCTTTCAAAGCCCCTATGGCCATCTTATTCATCAGCTTTTCCTTTTAAGTCTTTTGGTCAGCTTCTTTTTCCCTCAACTGTTATTGCTGCCTTGGCACCTTCAAATGTTAAACAATTGCTGCTGTTTTGTTGTTGCTATTGTTTGTCTGTTTTAACAAATGCCCAAGGAAAAGGCTATTTGTAACAAGAGAGTTCTGAGTCAGGTCAATAAAGATAAGCTCTGAGAATGGGGATTTCCAGGGAGTTGTCATTGTGTCAAATAGCAATTCTCTGGTAGTGGAGCTTTTAGGGAACTCCAAAATCATTCTAACCTCTCCAGAGGTGGCTAGGCTGCTGGTTTTCACTGTGATTTGGTGCTGTTGGTTTTCAAGGCTACTGTGGCGCTGGCAAGAAGGGATGGGATTCAGAATGCCACAAAGCTCTCCTCTTACTGAGATTAAACTGTTTTTCTTTTTCATGAATAAATGCTCCTTAGATTGTTATAAACCTTTAGTTAATTTCAAGAGTTCTGAAGATTTTGATGTTTGCCAGTGTTTGCACTACTTTTTGGAGAATCAGATTTTTGGAGGTGTTTATTCTGTCATTCCCACTGATGTCCGAATGTGCTATTACTCAGGAATGGGGATTGGAACATATCTCTGTGTACATCTATAGCAACTGGGCTCCTAGGATGTCTCTGGAGTCCTGGCCACATGAGCAGGCTCTCTCTGTTTTCAGGGTTGGTTGGGACATTTGGCCTTTGCAGTAGTACCCTAAAGAGGCTGCTTTTGTGTCTCTCTCTCAGGCTCCTCTGAAGAAAGGGAGATCATGGAACATGCTTTCTCCCTTCTCAGTTTTGAGAAGGAGTATGTCTCACCTATAAGAGATAACTTTCTTCAGATGATTGTCCAGGCAGATCATGTACTGTTTGGAAACGCTGTTAATTTCACCGTGACTCTCAAAAGGAAGACTGCTATTCCACAAGATGTCAACATCTCGGGCTCCTTTGACCTACAGATGTACACAGGCAAGAGGGTGGCAAACTTGTGTATCCTCAATAAGACCGTGATGCTCGAAGAAGAAGGTATGAGAGCCAAGGACAGGAGAGTTCTCACGTCCCAAGAGGGACCAGGGTCCCCACCATCTGGGATCCCTGTCTCTTTTGTAGACTACTCCCATACATTAACAAACTTTTGTGTGAGTGAACACAAACATTTACTGAGTACCTATCATTTGGTAGTCACAAGAAATTCAGCCACAGAAGAAATGTGGGCCAAAGAGACCACTGAACCGTGAGCCTAGGGTTTGTCACTGAGCTAGAAATTAGGGGTGCTGGGAGTGTTGTGAGAAGTCTTCTATGGTGGTGGAAATTGTATCCCAAATGCCCATTGTAATCAATGGGTTGTCGGTATGTAAGGCATAGTGTTAAGAACAAGTGGGACATCCTGATGACAACTAGTAATATCTGTCATGGACTAAGGATGGAAGCCAGAAGAACTCAGTCAATTATTAGTTCCATCTTGAGCCCAATGTCTTGTTTTCCAAAGAGAGGATGAGACATGTCCAAGGTTACCCAGTTCAATCCACCCAAAGTTAATCTAACTCTGTGCTTGATGATGAAAACTCATACTGGGGAGCTATGATAAATGACCTTTCCCCTTCTCCCTGGCTCTTTGGCAGTATCAGAAGTAACTCTGACCTTGGACCCCAAGAGCTACATCGACAGACTGATTATGCTAGATGATGATCCAATCATTAGAGGTTTCATCATTTCGGAAATTGTGGAGTCAGGTGAAATAATCGCCTCTGAGGTGTTCACGTGCTTTCAGTACCCCAAGTTCTCTGTACAGGTGAGCTGCCTACCATTCACAAAGGGCTCCTCCTGCCTGGTGCTTGACCATAAAGTGGGGTGGGGCCCCTAAGAACCCTCTTTAGCTTGTTCTTCAGGCTCATTGTATTCCTAAGAAAAATGGTACCTTGTTTTTCCAAACAGGTATTTCTGGAGCAGCAGTGGGTCTAACATTGTTCTTTTTTATAGTTTTTGGTTAACTTAACTTTAGAAGTTAAGTTGAATAAATAATACTTGCACATAGCACAAAAGTCTAAAGATGCAGAAGGTACAGTGATGGGGGTCTGAGAAACGGTGCAGCCAGGGCCAGTTGGGGGAAGTGGGTGCAGCAGTTGCAAGTGCTCTGACTCTGGACAAATGAAGGCTGGGGTGCTCTGAGGGAGGAGGAGCAGAGCCTGGCCTCTGGGCTGCTTCTCTGATCTGCTCTGTGAAGCAACATGGCTGGGAGGACATTTGGGTCTTTGGAGTCTTGTGTGTGACGTAGGACTCATGCCCAAGGGTACAGAGGAGAGCCTTAGTATAGTAGGCCAGGAGCCTGGGCTTGTCACATGAGCCTGTGCAGGTACTGAACCTTGGAGGTTGGGAAGGGCATCTGTGGAACTCCTCCCTCACCAGCGTCCCGTTTCAAGGACCCTGCTGGAGAGGCAGCCTTGTACCCATCCTTCCTGCTGGAGGGGGGCTTGGAAATACAGGCTGCAGCTGGGACTGGGTGGTCAAGGGGGATCCTGACTAGGGCTGAAAGAGGCCAGGAGGAAGGTCAGGTTAGGATCTCCAGCTGGCATCAGATTATATGTATTGAATTCCTTAAAAAAATGTCTGACAAAGCTCAGGTGGTATATATGTATATATGATTGTTGCAATAGAAGAAGCTAAGAGAAAGGCATGGAACAGATTCTCTTCTAGAGCCTTTAGAGAGTACATGGCCCTGCCAACACCTTGCTTTCAGGTCCATTCCCTAGCTTGATATAACTCACCACTGTGGTTTTACTTCTCTGCTTTAGCTTATCATGAAAGCACACACATGGCTCATTCACATTTTCTCTCCCCCTTTCTCATCCTCACTCTACTACAGTTGCCTAACACAGCCAAAGTTGACCAGGTACTTGTCTGCACTTGTATTTTCAAGAATTCCATGGCCATCCCTTTGACTAATGTCAAGTTCTCTTTGGAAAGCCTGGGTGTCGTCCCACTGCAGATTTCTAACCAAGGGTGAGTCTTTCTGAGCTGTTCCTACAAGAGAAATACTCTCCAGACCCATATCTTGTGCATGTGTGTAAATATTCCCGACATATGAATTCCCATTGTGGGGTCATAGGATCAAAATGTAGGTATATTTTACTTCCAAATTATTTCCAGAAAAGATTGCATTGATGTTTGCTCCACCAACAACTCTTTTTGATTCTTGCCAAGCTAATGGTCAGTAACCTCAATGCTGTATATTGCAGCTTTGATTATTTGTGAGAGTGAAAATTTATTATGTCAATTGACCATTTCCTGTGAATTGCTCATTGATATCCTTTGTCCCTTTTCCTACTGAGTCATTAATTATTTCATATTAATACGCATGGAGTCTTTACACAGAAAAGAGGGTTATGTGTTGCAAATTGTTTGCCACAGTCTGTATTAAAAAAAACAATAACTATGATGTCTTTCACTACTAAAACTTAAATGTCAATGTAGCCAAATTCGTCAACCTTTTCCTTTATGGATACTGAGTTTCATGTCATCCCAAGAGTATCAAGATATTCTCTTATGCTTTTCTAGAATTTCTGGCTTTATTTACACAACTAGGTATTTATTTGGAATTTAATTTTGTGGGTATAAAGTGATGTAGAGCTCCACCTTTGTTTATCATTTTCCTGGTACTTTGAAATCCTACACTTATTATGCTGTTATTGCCCATATATATGCCTGGGTCTCTGGATTCTTTCATTTGCAATTTCATTTGTCTTCTTCCAATGCAATATCATGCCACTTGTTATTTTAATTCTATGATAATTTGATATGATTATCACAACTACATATTGATATGTATTAGACAAATGTCCCTCTTTCCTCCTTTTTCCTGTCCATAGAACTTTTAGAATCATCTTATCATTTAAAAAACTGTTGGGATGTTTTTAAAAAGCTGTTGGGATTTAGATTGGTATTACATTGAAGTGACTGATTTATTTGGGGGAGAACGGTGCCAAATAACAGTATTGAGTCTTACCATCTAGGAATGTGAGATATTTTTCCATTTATTCAGGTCTTCGTTATCACTTTTAAAAAGCTTTATTGTTTTCTTCATATATAACTTGCATGGTCCTAGTTGAGTTAATTCTAAGGTATATTATAGTTTTTGTGAATGGAAGACTTTTTATTTTCTAATTGTTAGCTGGACTATATGGAAACTGATTTTGTTATGCTGATATATCCAGCAAAGGACTTTACTGAATCCTAATGGTTTGTTTCTGATAGTCTATTTTTATTTTATTTTTATTTTTTATTTTTTGAGTTGGAGTTTTGCTCTGTTGCCCAGGTTGGAGTTCAGTGGCACACTCAGGGTCACCCCAATGTTGACCTGCTGGGCTCCAGTGATCCTTCCACCTCAGCTTTCCAAGTAGCTGAAACTACAGGCATGCGTTACCACACCCAGCTAATTTTTGATTTATTGTAGAGATGAGGACTTGCCAAGTTGCCTGGGCTGGTCTTGAACCCACTGGCTCAAGCAGTTCACTCACTTCGGCCTCCCAAATGCTGGGATTACAGGCTGAGCCACTTAGCCCAGCCTGATGTTCTATTTCTTACAAGATGTCTGAATCTTCCAAGTAAAACCCAGTAGACTCCTATTTCTTTCACGGGGTTTCTTGATCTTTAAAGAGCACACACATTACCTCGGGGAATACTGTTACAGTTCAGTTCAGATTCTGATTCAGCAGATCTAGGTGTGTTTCTAACAAGCTCCCAGGTGCTGGCCTGCATTGTGGGACCCTAGACCACACTTTGAATAGTGAAGGGCCAGACAATTCCTTTCCTGTGGATTCATCATAAAACAGATGTTCCTCTTGGATTTCATATGAGACAACTGTTGCTAATACCCATGAAACAAAAGCATCTGTAGTAAACCCAGGCAGGGCTTAAGTTTTGTGAGATGTCAGAGTTGTAAGAGCTCCTGGAAACCAGCTGGTACAAACATCTTGTTGTATATCTGAGAAAACAGCACCCAGGATAGAGGTCCATGGTGCTGTGCCCTGGAATGGCCAGGACTTTCCAAAGAGGCTGAGTTGAGGCTGGGCCTCCTGGTTCCTCACCCAACTCATCTTCTCCCTCTCCCCACGGCATTCTTGGCTGATTGTGTGTCTGTCTGTATGGCTTTGAAATTTTCAGGACGGTGAAGGCTGGCGAGACCATCCAATCCCAAATAAAATGCACCCCAGTGAAAACTGGACCCAGGAAATTTATCGTCAAGTTAAGTTCCGATCAAGTTAAAGAGATTCATGCTCAGAAGCTTATTCTCATCACCAAGTAGCCTTGCCTGGTGCGTGGAGACGGAGGCAGGAACCCCAATGGGCTCTGAGCCTTGGTTGAGCATTTCAGCATTTCCTATTTTGTGCTTAGCTTTCAGATCATGGATGATTAGATTTGATTACTTATATGAGGGCAGATTTAAGAGCCAGCAGGTGGAAGATAAGGAGTTCAAAAACCAACACAAACCACAGGCAGCCAAACACACAAGACCAGGTCCCTCTTTTATAGCTAGAAACACCCAGCCTAAGTCATAGGACCTCACTCCCTTCCTGAGTTGTGGCCTCAATAATCAGGGCCACCATTGTCTAGATTCAGATCCACAGACACCCAAAGCCACAGATTCTCTCCCTGGAGCCACAGGCTATGAAAAGCCCAGAGCTGCCACCTGCTGGGGCCCCATGAGAAGCTGCTATCTCTTCAGGCCAAGGGTTCACCAGCCCTAAAGGCATCTGCCAACCGGAGTGTTCTCTTAGCACTGGGCTGGGCCTGCGAGAAGTGCTCTCCTCCTCTTACTTGCCTGAAATCCATGATTCCTTCTTGTCGTGCTCTCTGCCCACTCTCCTGGGATCCCTGATATCTGTACACACTGAATCTACAGCTGGGCCTGCCCTCTGAGCTGAAGTAGGACTGAGAGTCATCTGCCACTGGGTAGTCTTCTACCTTCTACAACTCCAGGCAGCTTGAAACTGACACCTGAAGCCCAACCCCATAGCTGGCCCAGTGATCCCATTGACCTGGGATGAGTTAAAATCTAAACCCTCAAGAGGGCAAACACAGGGAAGGAAGGAGGGGGAGAGGACTGGTGGCCATACCCCTCCTGGTGAGAGCCATGTCTACCTCAGGGATGCCGGACAGACTCCTTCCCTAGACCTGCCCCTCCCTCCGCAAGCCCCCCTACTGCCCTTGACTCTTCTCCAAGGGAGTGCTGTAGCCTCCTCTACTTTGGTCCCAGGCAGACATTTCACTCTCACCTTCCAGTGAAACCTGACACATTCCACCTCCTCCAGGTCCATTCAGAGACTGACTAGAGAACCCCGCCGTCCTCCACTCCATGGGAAATTGTACTTCCCTTGTGGGCAGGGCTTTACTTGGGAGCCATCTTGGATCCCGAGGGCCAGTTTGTGAATTGGCTGAGCCCGTTGTTTGCATTCTTGCCCCACTTCAGTTTTAGCCTGCTCATGGCCAAGGAAGTACAACCCCAGAACCCTGCTTCTTCCCATCCACCTTCCCCCAGGAGTAGAGCTGCCTTAGCCACCTGTGGGCCTCCACTTCAGGACTTGGAGGGCTTGGGACAGTCAGAGAGGATCCTGACTATGGCTAGTCCGAGAAGAAGGATTTAAACAAAGGTGCCCTTTTCTGACCTTTGGGATACAGAAGACACCCCAGGTTTCCAGTGCGTGGAGGGAGCCTAGAGGCAGACCTGGCAGGCTCCGCAGGAGACCACCTGGAGATGGCCCAGACTGGGCGACAGGCTCTCCCTCTCCTGCGGTCCAGCTCTCTCAGTGGGGGCAGGACGCCCCTTCTCAGAAGCCTCTGGCTGGCCAGAAAGCAGGCCCCGGGCAGATAGTGGGGCCTTCCTACTTCTCTGGACAAGCCCCGCTGCCTGGAGTCACCCTAGGGAAGAGGCTCCTCCTCGACCAACAGGAAGCCCTTCCCTTCTCTGTTAACTGAAGCCTGTTCCTTCTTGTTCTGCCCTCCAGAGATTTGATTGATTTTATAATCAATATGCTTTTAATTAAACTCTACTTCAAGATGACTATGTGGTTGCCTGAGTCCTTTTTTCTTTATGCTAACAAGCTTAGTAAAGTATCCTGTGCTGGAGGTTGTGTGGTCGTTTGGGGAGCCATCGCATCCTGACCGTCCCTGGCTGAGGGGTTCATCTCTGAGGAGTTGGTTGCTTTGTTCTGTCTGTTCAGGACGTCCAGTCCCTCTTTCAAAGGCTGTAACTACAATCGGGTGTACACCCTGGCAGAGGCATGCACATCCCTCGAATGAAGGTTATCTTGTGTGTAATTCACAGGACATTCGGGGGTGGGATACCTGTCACTCTCCCACTTTCCGGCCCTCCAGTCAGAAAACATTCCTGGTCACTTGTACCTAGTTGCCTACCTCCCTGGCATACAGTAGGTGTTCAATACATGTTTACTGAATGAAAGGGAATTGTTCCCTCGGCTGGAAATATCACAGGCGGTAACACAAAGAGAGGGATTTGGTTAGTCACCTCAAAGCACAGCGTTCTATACTGAGAGGCGATAAAGCCAGCATGATTGCTGTGTGGTGCCCATGTGACACTGGTCTCCCACTTCAGGCATGGAAGAAAAGTGGCTTTCCTGGAGGTGCCTTTGAGATACCCCAAGAAGAAGGATGCTGCTCAAGGGTTTGAACTGGGATCTCCTGCTGAAAACGGGAGACTCCAGCCATGGAGGTTGAACAGAGAGCTTTTTATTCAAGGAAAGAGGCAAAGCTTTGCCCCCAGCCTCCCTCCCTGTAGAACATCTTGTTTGACATCAGTTGCAGTGCTTTCAGTTTGAGGCCAAGCAGAAGAATGTTATGCTGTCAACAGTCACCGTGAAGAGAAGGCCACCGTGTTGCTGTCATGGGGGCACGAGCCTCAGGGTTGGACAGGTTATTACCCACTGGCCATGGCCCAGTCCAGCGCCTTCAGGAACAGGACTTGATGTGGTTGAGGTCTAGCAGGGAGATTGGGTCAGCGATGAGGGAGGGGCAGGGGCTGCTTCTGTGAGGGAGAACACCTCCCATTCTGCCTTCCTTTTGAGCAACGGATCAGAAACAGCATTGGCCTTGAGCGGGGTGGGAGTGTGCCTCTACTCTCAGGTCAAGCTGGGTCCAGGAAGAGCAGTTTTAGCCCCAAAGAGCAAGGATGTTCCTCAAGGGTCGTGCAGTTTTGCAGGTGCCTCTGGCCTCAGGACTAAACTCAGCACAGAGACTGACATCAGCAACCATGACCAGCAAGGCCTTTTTCCTTATTGTACCTACTGCCTCCTAGGGGACTCCAGGGGGCTGGCGCTGCTTTCCTTCCTGAGGTGCAGACTCTTTGGTATACCCTCTGCCATCCAGGCAGCTCGACAACAAACAGGGGTCCCCCACAGCTGGAACAGCTTTCTCTCAAAAGGGTGTCAACTCCCTGCCCAGACTGCAAGTTCACTGCCTTTGGAGCCAACTTGGGTACTTACATCTCATTAATAAATATTAAAGCTGATACTGACCAAAGACGTGGGCCTGCAGCCTGGGTGTGGGATGCCTGTGCCTTTCTGGATGCTCTGTTGATGCTGAGCTCTGCCATCTCCCCTCCCGTAGGACATCATTGGAGAGCTCTGATCAAGGGTTAGGACAGAGGTGGTTTTGTGAACTGGCCCCTCTGAGCAGCTAAACCCAGACTTCAGTGGATCATCAGCTATAGACATAAAGTCTCTCTCTGATAGAATCATCCCCCTTCATGGAATGCCCTACAAGAACTAGGCCGCTGCCACTCCCCTTCCCTTCTCATGGTCACCATAGCTTTATGTTCTCAGCATCCTGAGGCTATACCTCCAAATACTGACCTCTTTCCCTGGTGAACTGGGGCCACCGCCCCCTTTGGGCCAGGACACATGCCCTTTTGCCTGGAGCTGGAGAGGGGCCCTGACACAGAGACCTTGCCTTGGCATGCTTTGCCCAGTGCCTCTGCCAACACTGATGCCAGACTACCCTGGGGAAATAGGCCAAAGAGAAGAACAAAGGCCCAAGCCAGGGACTGAGGGCACGGAATCCATTTCTTTTCTTTTCTTTTTTTTGAGTTGGAGTCTCACTCTGTCGCCCAGACTGGAGCAGTGGCATGCTCCCGGCCACCGCAGCCTCACTCTGCTGGGCTCTGGCGATCCTTCCGCCTCAGCCTTCCAAGTAGCCAGAACTACAGGTGTGCACTACCACGCCCGGCTAATTTTTGATTTATTGTAGAGACGAGGTCTTGCCAAGTTGCTCGGGCGGGTCTTGAACCTGCAGTCTCAGGCAATCCACTCGCCTCTGCCTCCCAAAGTGCTGGGATTACAGGCTGAGCCATTGAGCCCAGCTGGAATCCATTTCTTATACCAAATGGGATATGAACTCTTCTGTTGGACATTGTGCAAAAGATGCTACTTCAGCAACCACTGGAATGGAGTTCAGGAGCACCAGAACCCTGCTCAGACCTTTAGCAATGGTCAGACATTCCAAGCTTCCAATGAGTAACCATGGTCCAGGCTTATTGTGGTATTGTGCACACACGTGTGTGTGTGCATGTGTCTTCCTTACCATCACCCATCCTTTCAGAGAGGCACCATCTTGGGAGAACCGACAGGATTTCTGGCCAGTTTGACCCATGTGTATTATTTGACTCCCTTCAAGAGGGAAAGTTAAATTATATTCTCATGGAAGAAGTTAGGGTGGCCACTATCTCTAACTAAGTCCTTTCCCTAATCCCTTTTCCTAATCAGTGAATGGATAGGTTTGTAGTCACAGACAGGACAGCTCTGAAGATTCCAGTGTCTGTGGCATGGGAGCTAACTTTTCAGTGCTACTGTCGTAACTCAGGCTCATGGCCATGCTGGCCATGTCCTGCACATGCGTGTGGAAAGCCTTGTGCTGAGGTTCTCTTCACACCAAGCCCATCTTCACAGGTAGATGGGGCAGACAGCAGGCAGAAGCCCTTTCCACGGGACGACTGGTCTCCCTTGATGTCAGTGGCCCACCTCAGGTCCCCAAGGCCAGCCCTGCCTTGTCCTCCCATGATGATGTCATGATTTTAGTTCCCAAAAGCCAGGAGCCAGGGCCCCAACTTTCCCAAGGCAAGCATCCCAAGGAAAGCCGAAGGCAAGCTCTTTTCTGCTCCCGGGCTGCCCTGGTAGGGAGCTTCCTTTGCTGGGCAGAGGCTGTGAAAGCCACGCAGTCTTGGAAGAATGGCACCTGATCTCGGCAAAGGCTCATCTTAGTGAATTCTGAGGAAGTCCTCATCCCGCTCTGCTG